TTCTACAGTGTCCACTATGAAAACATCTCAGCTGAGCAGTTCGGTCAAGATCCAGACCTTATCAACTGTTTAATAATAGAAAAATAAAGCAGCTGGTGATTTTATCAGAGAGAATGAAAGTAGAACCATCTTCTCCAGAGATGACAAGAAAGAGTTAAATGTTTAGAATATCACAGAACCAATCTATCAAACATTAATTAGTAAGCTACAATTACATGGCACTTCATTAAATCCTCTAAGAAAAGAAGAAAGAGAAAAGCTTAGATTGTAAATGATTATGAGAACACAAGTTGATTTAGTGCTTAGCTTTTTCTTAGGGGAAAAATAAATACACAACCGTAGAATTTGCTTAGAATAGAAATTATCAAGTATTCATGGGGAAATTACTAAAACATCTTGCTTAGTTTTAGGATCATGTGCTTTGCTTTTAGACCACTGTATAGTTACAAAACACTATATAGGCCACAGAATGACTCAAGTGTATGCAGAACAAATAAATTAATCAACTTAATGCCAGGAAACAAGAATAAATAATCTCTTCCCTAATCAAATGGTAAAAAGTCCATGGACAATTACTTGGCACTTATACAGTTGAAAACTAGACATGACTTAATCTCTGGTCAATATAATCAAACATCTTGGCCTTTTCAAAGAGAAAGGGTATGTAAATATATTTTTCTCTTTAAAAACTGGGGGGTGGGGGGGCTACTCCACTTCAGATAACAACAGAGTTAATCATTTGCCCTCCTTGAGATACTCAAAGTGCTCCTATGGAACCCAACACGCCTCTCAGCTTCTTTTGGATGAAAAGTACTGCTTGCATTTGGACAACTAACTGTACGAATGCCCGTAGTGCACTTCTTAGTGCTGCTGGTGTTTAAGAAATCTGCCACTCACAACACTGAACAGTTCGAGATCCAGTGTGTAGTAACAGCCATCCAAACCCTTCCTCTCATAAAAGTCAGCAGAGCACCGCTCAGGAATTACACAGGGAAGGGAATATACTTCTAAGCAAGTTAAGCACAGAGAAAGGACAGTAGTTTCTGAATAAAGAGCAGCCCACACACTACAACACTTACCGCATTAAAGCTGAAAGAGTAAGCAGGACACTAAGTCTGTACCATAAGAAGCAGAGCCATTGTTTGGCACACCAATACTGAGCCAATATTCTAAGTTCAAGTAACTACACACAAATTAAACAAATGTGGTACACAGAACAATTGCTAGCTAAGAAAATGTGAGTACTCTGAAAGAATGAGCAAGAATCATTTTTCAGAGGGCTGCTACCATGACTCCTATATGCTTTTCCAAGGAACAGATAAACAAGGAAATCAAACAATTGCAGGGATCCGATCCTGCTGAAGAAAATAACCAGTTGACAGATGTTAACTCTGAAAGGTACACCATGCCAGGCATCATGGCTTCTGATGGCACACTTCTAATTTCAGTTCAGTGCTATTAATTTTATAGGCTGCACCATAAAATCAACATTTAATAGGCATGCCCTTAATTCATATCTTTTGAAAATTAGCTTATCTTACTAAGAGTACCTTCAGTCTGTCCTTTGGATCCAAGAACAAATCAAGTATAACATAAACCAAGGTAATCAAACTTATGCCAAAATTACTGTATTAATAAAGCTTTCCTTGGAATCTGCTTCTTCCTACAGGCCTTTTACCTGAGACATTTACATGAATGCATTTGGTCAGAACATTCCTTATCATCTTCCTGAGCAGGCTCCTGCCCTTCTGCTTCCCTTCCTGGTTTTTTCTGTGACTCTTGCTCAGAACACATAAGGATTTTCTTTTAGCTCTTTAAACATTCAGGTGACAATTATGAAAGATGCTCTTGGTACCCTATTCTTAAACTTTGGTAAATAAGCAGGTTAAAGATGTACTAGCATTTACTTGTGTTTGAATTTTAAATTTGGGAATCATGGTGCATTTCCAGAAATTAAAATCTTCCAGAGCAATCATAAGCATAAATGTTCTCCTCTGTCTACAAATTCAAAACTTCAGTTTAAGTTCCTGATTTAGAAAAATAAGTCTAACGTCTCTACCTAATTTATCTAACTAATACACAAAAGTCATACAAATAGGATACAAACCAAATGAAAGTCAGTAAACAAATCTTTAACACATTAGAAAGGTGTTACTTTGGGTTTTATGGGGGGAGAGAAAAAAACAACCTTACAAACATGACAGCTCACATTTCAGTCAAAATGTTTGTTACTTTGAACATGTGACATAGAATTCTTGCTTGCTACAGGACCATTACTGAAACACAATTTGTTTACTGTGACTGAAGCTACAAACCAGTTAGTATACTTTGTAAAACTATTAAAATATTTCAAAAACTCAAGAATATAAAAGATGAAATTTTAAATCAGTATTAGGCCGACATCAAATTTTAACACTAAGAACTTTAGCCTTGTGTTAGAAATGATGTTCTATGCTCCTGGCTCCTTCAAGGAAGATACTCAACTTACTGATCCCTTGTACTTTCCCTTCCCTTTGCTAGTTGCTACTGAGTATACAGGTGGTATTTGTGATTTTACGAATTCTTGGAAGTATAATACAGACTTAAAATTTCACCTATTGACAAGACATGGTCAGGAGACAGAAATTTTAAACAGCACAATATTGTCCATGTTCTAGCTTTAATTGCCACACCCTCAATTTTAACATTATCTGCCACAGATTCAAGTGATATGAGTCTTGGATAGATTTTAACTTTCTCCCTTCTCAGTGATTTATGACTTTAAGACAAAAAGAAAAAAGGGTGAGGGGCTAATTTTCTTAATTCTACAAACTGTAACGCTAAAACATAGTGGCTTTTAAAGTACATTCACACAGGATGCTTATTAGTAAATTAACTATCTGCCTATGAATACCAGAAACGTAATTTGGAAACAAAGAGCTTAGAACAAGGCAAATGGGAGGGGGTGGGGAAGCTGGTCTCAGAACCCATTGTGCCATACCTGACTTTTAACATGTGATATTCAAATGAATGTTCACACGCCTTACATCAAATAAATCAAACAAAAATATTCAGCTATGTTGTACAAAATTTTTTTTTACATAAAACATCATAAATCTTGAACAGATTTACTGTATCTGAATTCTAAAAAGTTGCCTATAGAATGGTGCTGGGATTCTGTTCTCTGCTTGCTTTTAGGCAGTGCTGTTGCTTAAAAGTTGACACCAGGCACAATATTGTAAAACAAAGTCAACAAGCAAGGAGCAGTAAGTGATTTGAGCCTTTTCCAGATGTCAGTCCTGAGGATGCTGCAATATTCCCCATCAAAGTGTGTAAAGCTATGAGGATACTGATGCTTGACAGTGGGTGACTTGACATGCACTTGTATTACTTTTATAATGACAAACAGTGCAGTTTCCCCTTCTTCAAACAACACCATTTTAATAAACTTAACACTCCAGTTCTTGAGATAATTACCAGAAATCATATTTAACATTTAAAAAAATATATAGCACAATCTAAAAATGCCCAAAATTTCTCTTATTAGATAAAATATGCAGCAGCCCAAAGGCATAAAGCTTATTAACTTATTCTGAGAACTAGAAAGTATATGAGCATATATATTTCACTTTTATTAAATATATACCATGTCATTCACCTTGTCCTTTGGGCTTCTCACTGCCAAAGTTCCAAATGGCATGCATTTAACAAGACAATGCTGAGGACAGCAGCATTTCTGATCATCTGAACTGGCAGCTCAAAACAAGATACCACTCCTTTTACAAAGGGAACAAGGGGAAACAGTGTGTGAAATTTGGGCAAGAAGCTAAAGGGAAACCGTGCACATGAAATTTGGGATACCATGCCCTAGGTGTGTGCCACCCAAAACAAAACACAATCACCTACTTCAACAGAGCTACTACCAACATTTACGAAAACCACATTAAAATACACAGGATAATGAATGGTTTGAAAGAGTGCATTTGGAAGCAGAGAGACCCAATTACACACCTTCTTGCAACAGAGTGCCTCAATCATACACAAAATAAACTTAAGCTGTTTACAATGTTTCCCAATTTTTTTATTTTCCCCTCTACATTTAACTATTAAAAAAGATTTGTATTAATAAATGGGCTCCTCTGTGGTTCATATACAATCATAAGTGAACTTTAAATTTCATTTTATACAAACATCTCAAAAATATTGGGAGTGAAGTATGGTAGGAAATATTGCTCACATTGCTAATTAACATGCGTCTATGAAAGAAGAATGTTCTGTTAGTGCATATACCTCCAGAGCAGAAAACCCACCCGAAACAAAAGATCTAAAACTAAACAGACAGTAGCCAATTACAGAAAAAGGTAATGTCCACAAAGTTAAGTTTTTCATGCTATTCTACTTTCCAGTACTATGTTTCAGGTAATCAATCTGCATGGCTAGATGTTGGATGCTTGAGGTATATGAGAAGGGATACCTGAACACTGAGGAAAATCTGTCATCAAGGGTTTCTTTTGTTTATTCAGGTACTTTAACATTTTTAAAAGAATATTTTATTTACATCACACTTTGCTGAACTACAATGACATTCCAATTACAATAGATGACAACGCCTCTGTCACTAGGCACTTTTAAAAGGGAGTTTAGGCTTTTACAGAGCTCTTCTGGATGCAATCCTGTGTGATATTACATCACCCCACCACCCTCATCCCACTAAAATTACCCTTCAGGGAAATATTCTTTTATACAGCCTGATCAGTAAACTATGGAAGAAATTAGTATAAAATGACCACAGGAAATGTATCATTTAAGACTAATAAAACAGCCTAAGATGTCAGGTTTGAAAGAGGAGACAATTTGTATATATTTAAAACTAATTAAATAATTTAAATTTGACTTGTACTTTATATATTAGTGAGACACAAATATAGGCTATTTTCTTTTAAAATTTCATCACATAATGGAAAATTTCTTGTTTATTAAAAATATCACATTTTGATACTAGAAACAGTAAAGTGCATGAAAAGTTTAAAATATAAATTTCAGAAAACTCTTATAGCAGCAAAAAAGCAGAATAAAGAAAAACTTAAAAACACAGACACAACCTTTTCCAATGTTACTGTGCCATAATTAACATTTTCTAATTTTGCCAACTAATTTTCTCCCCACAAAATGGTGTTTATGCTCTCTGCCTCTTAAGTAAGATTTTCAAATGGCACCTCCTAGCCAACAACAACAAATAGTGGGGGGTTTCCAATACATCTAGAGGCATCAAACTTTGGGTATAAAACAGTAGCTTAATTCAAATCTAGACAGTATGGCAACTAAAATTAAAAGCATCTGATGGCCATTTGGCAGCTAGAGTCAGAAAAAATGATCCAAGGTTTTCAATTACTTCCCCAAATCTGTCCTTTCCTCAAAATCCTCTCTACTGTTACCTTAAAACAAAATAAAAAAAAAAAACAAAACAACAAACAAACAGCCATTTTACTTACTTTGGAAAACATGTATTGTATTATCTGGCTTTCCCTTTCTGAAACTCTGACTACGGGCTTTTCATTCAACAATTTTAAATGTTAAACTGTAATGGTAAAGATATAGATCATATTTTTTTCCAGTACAACCAGACAGAAAAAAAAGTGTGGGCATGAGAAAAAAAAAACCCAGACACTAATTTTGTGGGCATCCTAAAAATACCAAATTTAACTTTCAAGATGTATGGCAGTATTATCTGCTATTTCCTTATAAATGAACTTGAAAGACAGGCTTAGAGTTAATACTTCTAAAAAGATTAGGATTAATAGGCAGACACCCCCCCAAAAAAAAAAGAAGAGAAAAAAGGGAGGGAAGGAGGGAAGGAGAGAGAGAAGAGAAGAGAAGAGAAGAGAAGAGAAGAGAAGAGAAGAGAAGAGAAGAGAAGAGAAGAGAAGAGAGAAGAGAAGAGAAGAGAAGAGAAGAGAAGAGAAGAGAAGAGTTGAGTTCTCAAACAAATCAACCAGCATTTGGCCAACAAACTGTCACATACTATGCTTGATTTTAAAGCGTATTATGTAATTATCTTTCATATCTCAAATTGTCTTGTTATGGCTAGTGGCTATACCATATTTAATGTACAAATCAAGCAAATTTAAGTGCTTTGTTAATGTGCAAATGACTTGAGAGGCAAAAATTAGCTTGTTATGAAAGAAAACAGAAACTCAAAGTTTTTCCTATAAAGCATACCATCATTCAATTGAAAATCTTGTATTTGGAGTTTTTAAAAATCACCTTTTACAAAAATGATTGGCTTATTTGAAAACATTCAGAAGAATGTATTTGGTTTTAGAGAATAACATTGGTGTGGGGTCTCAAATTAGTGATTTATCAATTGTGAATGTTGGTTCCTAATATAATAGGAAAATAAATTCAATTTTAAAGTATATTAAAATTTTGGATAGATAGCAACAGACAGTAATACTTTGGTTCCAGCCCTAGTGCCAAATGATATCAGTATGCACAAAAATATACAAAGTCTTATAGCAAACACATTGTGAAAGGAACCTGAAGAAGCAGCGTTAAAGATGGCCATACTTCACTCCTACATACTTTGATTTACAACTGTACAGGTCCATAGCAACAGATCCCCGTCTCTGCGGGGCTGGACTCCACTACCTCCGATTAGGCAAGTGAACACCATTGACAAGAGGCAGGAGTGGAGGGTGGAGTTCAAGTTGTGTTAACAGTGAGAAGTGGTCTGAAGGGATGTGAGGGTGTGGACACCCAGTGATGTTGTTCTCAACCAGCCATTGAGGATCTAAAGGCCCCAGGACACCAAGCACGTTCATATGAGTCTTGGAATAGAAAATGTAGTCAATCACACCCTGGAAAGAGATTAGAGATAACAAAAAGGGGGAAAATATGTTTAAAAAGAGAACAACTCCATGAAAAGAACAATTCTTACTTTGGAAAAACTAAATAACTAAGAAACCTGTATTCCTGGTACCTGTCATCCCAACTGTAGATTCAACAAGGCTCTAATCTTTGATGGCTTATTATATGAATACATGTGGCTCAATAAAGAAACACAGCATCTTACTGCATCATAAAGTTTTACATTTGTACATAAATTATAAAACAAAAATGCTAAACACACAAATTTATGTCTAGGCACCTCTAGAACAGACTTTCTTGGTTTAGTAAAGTATAACATACTACACAGTTAACTGTCTAAATTTGCTTAGTTTAAAATACTCATTTCTATAAGTTCTGGACTGAAGCAAAGTATCAATTAGCAGGAAGAGACATGGACATGCAGACACACACTTGCATATATAACATCTGTTCTATTTCCCAGAGCTAGTTTATTTAATTCATGTCATCAGTAAATAGCAAAACTAATGTGCCTTCACTGCCCCAAGATGCACAGGTTTCAATTAACGTATTATTAACCTATAGTAAAGAGCCCACACTCAAGTAGAATGAAGTATTTCTACATGTGAAATTCATTCATTTATTCATTTACTGTAACAAGGCCTTACTATGTAACCTAGCTAGGCTTGACTTCAAGACCCTCACCCTATCACATGCTGAGATTACAGGTATGTGCTACAACAGCTGATGCATTGAGGATGTTAAAGAAACATCTTAAAGTGATTTTAGACCAGTTCAAAAGATCAAGGTAAATGGCTTAGACTAATATGCCAAATTTTGTTTTTTTTTATTTTACAGTTTACAGACAAATTAAAAAGTAAGATTCTAAAATGTATGAAAAAAGTAATATTTTCTCTTAACCTACTTATTCATATAACAATGATAACAGCTAACTACTGAACACTTATTTTAGGGAACTTTTATTAGTTCTTCCGAGGTAAGTTTGCAATTATATATTATAGTTATAAACATAGGATTTAAACTATACATCACTGAGTACAGAAGTATTTCTTTCAACTCCTGCAAAAACAGTACAGTACTAGAGCTGGTGATTTCCAACTTTAACAATGCCTTTCGCAACAATGTGAACAAAGGTATCACATTAGATTGGAAAAGTGCATAATCCACAGAAAACACTACAAATCAAGGCTTATTTACCCCAGAAAGCTAGTTCTTAAATATTTAACTGCACATTACCATGTATGAGTGATCAAAACAAAGCAAGCTATCAATGAATAGATTTGTGTACTAGATAAAACTATATAAACTTCTAAGCAGTTTTTGTCTCATTTCTATGAAAGGTGAGTAATAACATACAGATCTTTCTTCCTCCTTTTTTGGTTTCAAAATGAATAAACAAACATCAAAAAATGAAAAAAGGAGGCTGGGAAACTTTTAACCTTTAATCCCAACACACAGGAGGCAAAGGCAGGTGTCACAGGAAGCAAAGGCAGGTATATTTCTATAATTTCAAAGCCAGCCTGGTCTACATAGTCAGTTTAAGGTCAGCCAGGGCTACACAGAGAAACCCAGTCTCAAAATATAAAACAAAACAAAAAAGGAAGAAGGTTACTGAAGATCTGAATGAGCCTATTTAATATCTCCCTTTTGTATTATACTATAAATTCTCTACACTTTGTATACTAAACAACTTTCTATATCTATATACGTATTTTTAGGATAGAACAAGATGTACAACTCATTCTGAAAAATGACAGAAAGTCAAATAGAAGTAAAGAGAAGAGCTACAAGTAGATAAAATGATCTGGAAATGCACAAAAGGAGAATAACCATAATGAGCCATTGCCATCTTTTTATCAAGAAGTATCTTATCCTGAACACGAGCAGCAGGCTCCTGTTTTTAAGACTTCCTTTTCTTTTAAAACTTGAAGTTTCCATAGATGACCTGGGAATATACTAACTACTACATAGATAAAACTGACAGTAAGTACAACCTATAACACTACCCCTACAAGAAACTTTGGAAATCGTAAGATAAATAAGATATTCAAAGAAAACTTTGACAGAATAGTTACAAGTTCACTCCAGGGAAGTTTAGTTATATATATATATATCAGGTGCTTAAATTCTTGCTAAGCACAGGTGGTAATAAACAGATGAAGATTAACTGAATTTTAACAGTGCCTGATAGTAAAAATATGAGCTATTATCACTATTATCTAAAATGTGAATAAAAGTTTAAAAAGAATTTAAATGATATCAGTTTTGATCATGAAACTCAACAAAATTCCTTGTTTAGTTGTATATTTAAGCCAGACTGGTTTTTGAAACTGGTTTTTGTTTGTTTGCTTGCTTGCCTGTTTTTTAATCAGTGCTAATTCTTTTGTTTTATATCTATGAGTATTTAGCTTGCATGTACGTCTGTGAAACATTTGTGTACCTGGTGCTGGCAGAGACCAGAGCTCTGCAAATTCTTTAGCAAATCCTACAGGTGTGTGCCACCACAACCAGCAGCCCTGAAAACTCTTAATCATAAGGGTTTATACTTTTTTAATATTCCAGAGACTGCTACTTACTTTGAAATCAAAGGTGTAATTGGTATAAGGCATCAAGTTATTTTCATAGGCGCTCTTAAGTTGGAAGCCATGTGTGATTCTCCCTTCTGAGCTTCCATTCTTTCCACTACAGCTGAAGTTCATAAGACACTCATTGTACCTTAGTTCCTTGAAGTCTTTATGGTTGTCAGCTACTCCTCCGTTGCTTAAATATTCTACAACACCTAGCAGAAGAAAGAAAGAACACTACCCTTTAATGTTTAGAGCAAAGCTGTATTACTAAATCTTATTCTACAGACATACCAGGGTTAGAGTTTGCTTAAATCCTGTAAAACTCTTAGCTGGGCTTGGTGGTGTATGTCTTTAATCCTAATACCCAAGAAGCAGAAAGGCAGGCTGTTTTCTCTGAGGTCCAGGACAGCTTGGTCTACACAGGAAGCTCCAGGCAAGCCAGGGCTGCGTAATGAGACTTTGTCTCAAAAACAAAACAAAACAAACAAAAAAAAAAATGTGTTCTTGTTCCTGGTGTTTAAATTCTAAAACACTAGGAATTTCATATAACTTAACCTCACTAAAAGGCATTTGCTTACTTCAGAAGAAAGTATCAGGATCACTAGGAATACTGTCAACCTTAGTAGTTCTTTAAGTTCAGATGACTTCTAGAATCTAGAGAGCATTCACCAGAAAGGTCTTGATCTTAAGTGCTTTGGTAATATTATTCTAAACTACTATGTCTTTACCAGTACTCAAAACAGTCAATCAACAACATAGGAAAATATACAAAGAACATGTGATAAATTATTTGCAATAAAAACAGGTTTTTCATCCTCAACAATGCAATGTCCAAGGTTAGCTTAGAAGATTATTTATTTTTTAATTATTATCTTACTATTTTATGTATATGAGTATTTTAGTTGCAAGTCTGTCTCCAGGGGCCAGAAGAGGATATTAGGTTCCCTGGAATTAGAATTACTGATTACTGATGGTTGTGAGCCACCATGTGGGTGCTAGGAATCAAACCATGCCCCTCTGGGAGAACAGCTAGTGCTCTTAACCACTGAGCCATCTCTCATTTATTTTGAGTTAGCATAAGTCTCAGTCTGACACCTATGAAAAACACTTTATGTCCAAGTAACATTATTTGCCAGAGACCAAAAATATTAGATGTGTATAAAAAGTTTCCACCAAATCAGCAAACAAAAGTCTCTCACCCCTTTTATAATGACTTCACGATAATGTTAAATTCATCTATTAATGATTAAGGATAGAAATAATATGAATATGAAGTAAAACGAGTATCAGTGTTGTGAATAACTCAAAAGGAACCACAATTTATCTAGCATTTATGATATGCTAGGCATACAAACAATCTAATGAGTCCAATAATATACTTATCGCCTTATCCATAATGAATAACATGTATAGCTGCTAAGAAATAGAATCAGGGTCCAACCCTGACAGTCTGATTTGAGGCAGTGAGCTATGCTATAGTAACGGTGAGATTAATAGCTATCATAAATGGTTTCAGGAAATCATGTGAAATAATAAAAGAAAAACTTGCACTTTTAGAAAAACTTAATTATTTTTTATAAAGAACTAAAAAAGAGGGATGTGAGATGGAGAGACAACTCGGTCAGTAAAGTGATTGCCATGGAAGCATGAGCATGACTCCAAGCCTCAGAACCAGTGAAAAAAGAGCTGATTGTGATGGACAGCTCTTGTAACACCCACACTGGGGCTCACTGGCCAACTAGATCAGCCTAACCTACTTGGTGATCCCTAGGCTGGCAGGGACCCAGTCTGACAAACAAGGAACGACACCTGAGGAACACAAAGGCTGACTTCTGTTGAGTGGTTGAGCATACATGCATATACATATCACAACGTATACGTGTACATACACATGGGTGGCTGGGAGAGGCAAACTGGCCTAGAGGTCAAAACCAAATATTTGCAAAAATATCATTTACTTACTATGAACAAGATATTTTATAAATTTGGTGACTATTTACAATTTCCAAATATGGGTATTTATTTTATATTTGCTACTGACTATTTTGACTTGTCTAATGATGGCTAAAGGAATGCTTGCCTAACTAACATGCAATAAGCTTGGATTTGATACCTAGTAAGATATGGTTTAAACAGCTTAATAATAATATGGAATATATGGAATATGTTTTGCTAATAGTACAGATGTACACTCTTTTGTTTTGCATTTGAAATTCAGGATCTAAAATGGAGAACTAAATTTTATAAAGATGATATCCAGGCATAAAATAGTCCAGTGGTGTGATATACCACCTTGGTAGAATTCTGATCATTCTTCTATACCTAGTAGTAAGTACAGAAAGATCATGGAGAACCTGCCACTATTAAGTGAGACAGCTAGCTATCTGTGATGAATACTCTCTAAAGAATGTCTATCTTTTGCCGGGAGGTGGTGGCGCACACCTTTAATCCCAGCACTTGGGAGGCAGAGGCAGGTGGAGTTCTGAGTTCAAGAGTTCGAGGCCAGCCTGGTCTACAGAGTGAGTTCCAGGACAGCCAGGGCTACACAGAGAGACCCTGTCTTGGAAAAAAAAAAAAAAAAGTCTATCTTTGCTGAACTTGGTGCCTTGGGAGGTTGACCTCTCATCCCTACCCTAGAACTTCTAGCTGGACTTGGTTAATGGGCAGCCCTGGCAGAAGACGAAAACATGAGAGCAGAGTGAGAGAGAGGGCAATCTCCTCTCCAACCTCCCTTATTATAATTTGGCAGGCACTGACTGTACCATTCAATTCCAACCCATCACGTCAATTATTGATCCTCATCTATAACTATACTTACAAGGTCTAAAGACAGTTCCCACTATTTTTCCAGTTAAGAGCAAGAGTAGGAGTTGTTAAAGTACAAAAGCATTCATTGTTTTGTCTTACCTAAGCCTGAACCCTCCTTTGAAAGCAGTTTCCTTAATTTTTTTCCAATTAGTCACTGTCTAATCTCTCAAATTCCAACTGGCATGTTCCTTAATTTAGAAGAGCCCTGTTAGGAGCTGCATGGCCTTCCACTCAAGACTAAATGTGAAACTGAAAGCAAGGAAAAAAAAGATGTGGTAAATACCTGAATCTGGCAATGAGTTAAGATCTGCACATAGCACCAGCGGGATGGAATTGGGATCTGCAGTCGGGCTGCCAGGCCTACTTGAGGCTTTCTCCAGAATGTTTTTAACCTCTGAGACAAACATCATGGTCTGAATAAGTTTCACATCAGAATACTCAGGGTCCCAATGCATGTGGGCATTTGCCACTATAAGCAGCTGTTTGTCTGCAGCATGAATAGGCTTCATACCTAAATTTAAACAGCATGAAAGAGATGTAGAATGTTATATTCATGTTTCTTTTTTTAAAAAAGTACTTTAAAATTTTTCTGAAAAAAGAGTCATAGCTACTTCATTATTTTTTTCCTATATACTTATACTGATTTTCATCTCGAACTTATCTAAGAAACTAAAGGGTAATTCTGGAAACCATGAGTGTAGTGCCTGCAGAGACCAGGAAAAAAAGGGCATTTGATCTCGTGAGACTGAAGTTAAATTAAAGGTGGTTGTGAGCCACCCAAAGTAGGTGCTGAGAACCAAATTCCAGTCCTCTGGGAGAACAATGTATGCTCTTAACTGCTGAGGCATCTCTCCAACATGAAGCAAGCTCTTTTAAGTGACTCTTATTTAAATAGCACAATATCTAGTGAGAGATGTTTCCAGGTTAATTAACTAATACTTTATTTCTTGCTACTGCACAATATATAATTATTCATCTTGCATTTCTCAAGCTTAATAGTAAATAAGGGTCAATAGCAAAAATTGGTAATAGTGTATGAACCTACAGAAAATGAAATAAGGAAACAAATTTACTGCCCAAGTAAATTCCCAAATAAAATTAATTTTTATATGAAAATCATGGGACTGGACAATGGCTTAGCGGTTAAGAGCATTTGCTACTCTTGAAGTGGACAAGGGTTCAGTTTCCAGCACTCACCAGACTGCTCACAACCACCTGGTAACTCTACTGCCAAGAGATCCTACATACTTTCAGACTGCTGTGTGTGTGTGTTTGTGTGTGTGTGTGTGTGTTTGTGTGTTTGTGTGTGTGTGTGTGTGTAGGCATTAATCTTAAAAAAAATTAGAAAATTGTGCACTTCAAAACTCTGGATACTTTCATTTTAGAGCTGATTTTATTATTAATTATTTTGTGTGGACTCAGGCTAGTTTGCTAATTAATGCTTTTGATACTCGGGTTAATTTGGAAAAAGATAACCAGCTAGACAATTTCAAATTCTTTTTTCTACTATAATTCTGTTAAAATAAGCATTAACATAATATTTTCAAAATGTTGGACTTGGTAATTAATCCAATATAACATGTGAGAAGTAAACTTAATAGGCACTGGCAGAAAGATGATCCAAAATATATATAAAAAAAAAAAGTAGTTTCACAGTTTTCATTGTAAAATTAACTTTATTTGGGTAGCAAATTCTTTCCCTTATTTCACTTTCTGTAGGTTCATATACTATTACTGACTTTTGCTACAGACTTTTACTATTAAGCTTGTGAAATGCAAGATGAATAAGTATTGTGCAATAGCAATAAATTAAGTTCAAAGCAGAAAATTCAATGCCACTTAGCATAAACCTATACACATATATTATATAAAGAAACGAATAAAAGCTATTTCCAGAATGTGATCAGGAGTTTCTCGATTTTTAAAGTTTATGTACTTTGGGGCTGTTGCAGTATCAAGTGAACATTCAAAATTAAAATTTCTATTGAAATGTGCATAAGAGTAGTTCAGATTTTCCCACTAAAATACATACAAACTCTAAAGAAAAAAGCCCAATTTCTAAGTGTAATATTTAGGTAAAATTGGGTTTCCTTCTTATCTTACCAAATTGTAATTTTTTTCAATGTTGAGAAAATAAATTAGCAAAGTAATGTGGTATATAAAACTGAAGGAATATTTTACAACTTTTTCTAAGCTGTCTCTGTCTCCTAGAAATTTTAGTGTCACTTCTGTCTATAAATGCATGTTCACTATGTTAAATATTAAAAATGAGCCCCAAAAAACCATTTGCTCCTACACACTAAATTTCCCTTTTATAAGGAAAGGGACATGTTTTAGGAAGCAGAAGTATGTATTACATAATTTAGAATTACTCCTCTGCAAATTAAAAAGAGGTAAAACTCCAAAAGAGGTCATAATAAACAGAAAAACTGACCAGAAGAACAATGTAATGGGGAAAAGACAAAAAATTTGAAAAGGCTAAAAAAGAAGTAAGCACAAAATCTCACATTAATGATGGACTGTTTAATGATAAACTGAAGAACTGTAAGAAAAAAGAAATCTGACACTGCGTAGCCCGAATAATTTAAACTAGTACTCGAGCCCAAGTAGCACAGGAAGAGAAGAGTACCGGTGTGGTCTTTATCACCTTGTTCTGCTTGAGACAGGCAGGAGAGAGGCCAACAAAAGACCTTGATAATGCCAAGTACACAATGAATTTCTGACTCTCTGGGAAGCTATAAATAATCCAAAAACCCTGAAAAGTATCACATAGATAAAAGATACTGTTCTCACCCTGACAAGGACTTGAGATTTAACAAAGAAGTTAAAGAAAAGATGCCAACTATTTCACCTTAAAAAACAAAGGGTACACACTCATGAAGCTAAAACTATACAAGAGAGGACCAAGAATAATTTCTAATTCAGCCTAAGCAAACTCTACCCTATTTCAAAGAATTTTTTCAATTAATGGTATGTTAAAAGGGCAAATATTACCTGTTAAATAAAAATGCTGACAGAAACTATAGAATAAATCAAGAAATTATAAGAAATATGTAATACTTTATATAATTAATGCTATTTTCTTTTTCCATCTCCTTTAACAGTTCTCAAGACAAGAAAATAATCTTGTAATAATACTAAGATTCTCTTAGGAAATCTACTTAGATGGCACTCACCTGTTCCAAAGAGCTCCTTGTGGACCTCTAACACCACAGCAACGCCAATGTTATCTTTTGTCATTACTCTGTTTAGCATTGCTTCGGATCCATCTGAATTTGCCATTGCTACCTGGTTGAATTCCACTGTATGCTTCTGCACCAATGTAAATCTAAAAGACACACATATTCAGAGAACTTGGGTAGTTATACTGTCATACTAAGACATTAAAAGTAGAGGGGCACAAGTATAAACATTATTGATAATCTATAGCTACAAATGGTCATGTTATATAATTCTGGCCAGTGAGAAATAAGAAATATGGTTTCTATAAACAATTCACGAAGACCCATCCAACAAAGACAAAATATATATCCTCTTCACCCTTTTATGTCTTTTCCGCTTCTAGCTACCTAGTAGGGGAAATTTAGTACCTAAAGGACTAATTACCAAATGTGAACTAAGCAAAAGAGTACAAGCCAATCTCCTAAGAATGGGGAAGCAGCTGAGGCAGTTCTATCTAGACTGCTTCTTATGTGTAAAAAATTCATTTACTCAAGGTACTCTTCAGATTTTCTGACATTTAAAAGTACATACAATCTTAAATGAGTGAGCAGCTTAAAAAGAGAAAGAATAAAGTCTACTTGCCAATTTTTAAATACCATATCAAGATAACAGTCAAGAAAATACAGAATATAATCTTTTTCCCCACCTAAAAATTATCACATTCTTGATTAGTTTTTACAGAAAGACTGTAATTAGGTATAAGTGTTCAAAGAAATAGATTACATTATATGAAAAAAATGAGTCTCTGTGATGAGGGCAAATTATAGAATTATAGGATATAATAAAAATTCATCTAATGCTAACATTTAATAACTGTGAACTTGGTCAAGCCACCTGTACTGGTTGTTCTGTCAGCTTGACACAAACAAGACTTATCTGAGAAAAGAAACCTAAAAAGAAAGAAAGAAAGAAAGAAAGAAAGAAAGAAAGAAAGAAAGAAAGAAAGAAAGAAAGAAGGAAAGAAAGAAAGAAAGAAAGAAAAGCTTCTGAGAGACTGCCTGTAGGGAAGATGACACGGATGGGCACAACTCACTCCAGGCCAGGTGGTACTGAGTGGTACAAGCAAGCAGACGTGGTAAGCACAGATGGAAAATACCACAAGCAGCATCCTCCACAGCCTCTGCTTCAGTTCCTGACTCCCCTCAATGATAAACTATCACTTCTTAGTTTTAAAATGAATTAAACCTTTCCTCCACGTTGCTTTTGATCATGGTCTTAAGAGTGTTAGAGACCAAAGTAAGGTACTATTTAACATCATTTACCCAATTTCATTAACTTTTTGAAATATTTACAGAGAACCAAAGTATTTCTTTGGGGCAAGTGGGAGCCCCTGGACTTAAACTCGCAATTAATTCTCTCTTCCTGCCTTTGATCCTTAGAAATGAGATTAGAACATTCTCTACCAGTCATGGCTTAACATACTAATTTCACTAGAACTTCAAAGATATGTTTTGTTTTCATAACTATCTAACATTTTATATCATTTCTAAAGTTGAAAATTAAGCCACATACATCTCTTCAAAAATACTGACTATAAAGCTCATCATGCTGTAGTATACAATGCTAGATGAAATAATATTCTTCTCATCAACTTCTTATTCTAATTCCGAATGTCTCAGATGAGATCAGAAAACATAAAGTGTAATGTGTCTGTTCACATGGCCTATTTCAAACCCAGAGTTCTAAAAACAGTTTTCACCCTATTCTGGTAAAGAGGTGATCCTTAAGCTAAAAAGGCTATCAGTATGAAGAATGAAGTTAAGAGCATTTCAGGTAAGACAGCAAATAGCTTTCTAAAAAATAAGTGAATGAATGAATAGGAGGGAGGGAGGGAAGGAGGGAGGGAGGGAGGGAGGGAGGGAGGGAGGGAGGGAATATATAAGAATGAAAGTAAGTAGAAAATGGTATTGGAGGTAAAATAAAAAGGGAGAGTTAAGTAGATTTTAAGTAAAGAGCACTTGCTGCCATTCCAAATGAAAAGAGTTTGGTTCCCAGCATGCACATCAGGCAACAACACAACCAACTGTAACTCTAGCTCCACAGGACCTGACACTCTCTTCTGGTCTTAGTGAAAACCCACACAGACATGACATACACACACACACACACACACACACACACACACACACACACACACACACACAAATAAAAATAAGAGACAGGTGTAGTGGCACATGTCTTTTTGGGAGGCAAAGACAAGTAGATCTCTGTAAGTTCAAAGCTAGCCTGGTCTACACAGCCAGTTCCAGGCCACATAGTCAAACTCAGTCCTTAAATAAATAAATAAATAAATAAAAATAAATAAATAAATAAAATCTTTTTGCATTCTACCAACACTAACTTAACACAGTCACTTCTTCTCCAACTACCATATACCATATGGCTTCTACCTTCTGTTGCACAGAGTGCCATACAGGAAATTTTATACCATACTATTCTTCCTCTATTCTACTGGAATTTTTCTTTTGACTAACATGCATTGGTTTATACTTACTTTCCAGTTATTCATTTAAGCTAGCAATCTTTGGTAATATGTAGTTTGTAATTTTTTTTCAGTATTTAAGATTCATTTGGTATTTCTATTCTGGTTAGTATACTCTGCTTTATAAGCATCATTCCTGATAGTATTTTATCATATTTATCTCTGTATTTTTTTCTGTTAAGTTCACCTTTTTGAAAATTTTAAGCAGGGGCTCAAGTGGGTATATAAAGAACATACATAATCAAGAAAGATATATTTGAGAAAGATTATGATGTTCTCATGTGTAGGAGAACATGTCCAAAACAAGCTTTCAAACAAAGAAGCAACAATTTCTTAACGGTGTGCAGTCTAAAAGTAATTTGCTATGTTGGTATGTGATTGCACTTAAAACTAGAGAGACAACACTGAGCAGTAACTATGAATTACTAACACAATAGGACTTAAATGGTATTCTTCCTGAAATTTACTTACAAGTAAAAACAACACAGAACACCATCAAGGTGATAGTAAGAGCCAGTGAGATGGTTCTGTGTAGTAAAGATCCTTTGCCAGGAATAACTTGAGTTCAAGCCTGTAAGTTATACCATAGAGGAAAGTGCAGGCTGCTCTCTAACTCCTATTAACAGTTCACTGGTGCACATGCTGACATCAAGCATCCCCACATGCACACAAAGAAATGTGAAAGGAGGAAGAACAGCAGGGAAAGAAGAAAAGTAAGATACCAAAAGTTAACAGAGCCTTCCTTTCTCCATCATTTCTCTTAAAAACAAACCTCAGAAATTTTCTTAATGTATATTCAGAATGAAATATATAAAAGATAATCTTGCATTTTATCAATCATTGGAACGTAAGAGAAAACTTTGTAAATGCAAACTACAGACTAGAAATAAATATAAAAGAAAAATAGGAATACAAGATTCTATGTCTGTACAGCATTTAATTGTTCTTTTGTTATAGTTTATTTGATTTTTGAAGGGTCTCTCTTTGTAGCTTTGCCTTGCCTGGGACTTACTATGTAAAGCAGGTTGGTCTCAAACTAACAGAGATCTGCCAGCCTCTGCGTCCTTAGTGACGATGAGAACTCTTGAAGTCACCTCTACATCCTTTATCATTTCAGCCCCATAATAAACCTTAGGTAGTAAACAGTTTTCATTAACTCAATTTGAAAAGTACAAGGACTTTAGAATAAAGCCATTTTGTATGTCAACTTTACACTATTTAAAGATTTATTACATCTCATCTTTACACTGTTTTAAACATTTTTGTTAAATTTCTATATATTTGTATGTTTGCACTTGTGTGAGTTTATGTGTGCCACATATGCACAGAGTCTACAGAGACTAGAGGACATCATCCTCTAGAACTGGTAGTTGTGAGCTGCTTAACATGGGTGCTGTGAAACCCATCCATGTCCTCTGCAACACTGAAGCACGCTTAACATGAGCTACCTCTTCAGCCCCACATTTAACTGATAGTAACTTATCATTGCAAATAAGCCCTCATTTTAAAGAATTAAAATCACAGATTACTAAATGCAATCAAAGAAATCAACAACTCAATGGCTAAGGAGAAAGGAGTATTACAATATACTTAAAAAGGCACTACAACTTCTGAATGTACTTTTTCCAAGCAGAAAACTGTATTTAATAATAAAAAAAACCAAAAAAACAAAAAAAGCAAGTACCAGGTCTTTCCTAGATAAAATCTAAAGGTTACATCATCAGGGAAATAAATGCCTTAAATTTATCATTTATTAGCAATGTTCATAGAAAGTTTTCTTTGAAACAATAAGTTTAAAAACTATGTGATGACAGTGCAGTATCTAATGACACCAAACTACTGTCCCACCTGTGTTTTAACCTCCTCCCTCCTCTACCCCCTTCCTCTTCCTCTCCTACCCCGGCTAGACAAAAATCTGTCTTTAATGCCGTTCTCTATACAAAACACATATAAAAAAATGCATGTATGTGTTTTCAGTTTGCCAACTGTAGGTCATATTTGACATAAAAGAAAAAGCAAAACTCATTTCTGGCATTTGATCAAAATATAATTTTACAGTATCTTTATTAAGAACAAATGATGTTTATGATGATGCCTAAAAGGTCCTGATGAGCCTGCCACATTAAAACTTGGCAGGTTACAGTGTGGCTCACTGGAAGAGTGCCTGCTTGAAGTGCTTGAGGCCTTAAGCTCAACAATTAGTGACTCCCTCCCATCTTAAAAAGAAATCACTAGAATATTTTATTGTATTCTAATTCTTCACATCTTTAATATGTATCCTAGCCTTTACATACATACATACACACACACACACACACACACACACACACACACAC